ACGAGTTCCCGCGCGGGAAACTCTCCACCTCCCGTACCTCGGCTTACCTGGTTAAGTGCAAAGGGCACAAGATCGGTGGCATGTCAGGACTCGAACCCAGGACCTCTTGGTTCCGAATCGTGCACTCTGCCGCTACGCCACACGAGCCCACTTTCGTTTGTTTGTTTATTAAGGAATCTCCATTAGTAATATGTACATCACTATTCTTCCTGGAGTCCTATAGAACATAAAAATACAACTATTATTTACATTTACTTCAATTGCTATTATGCTTCAGGAAAACGTATCTTAACAACAATTTTAAACATCAATTATTACATCAATCATTACAACAATTTCGTTAACACAACGTTAACAGTTCGCATCAATTAGGCCATGTTGATTTGATTATATGGATGACATCCACGCGCGCATGGATTTTCGGCCGTTTCCAAAAAAAGTTTTAAACCACACTGTAAATCGTACAAAACAGTTGTAAAATAAGAAAATATATACCGTCAGTTGTAAAAAAATGGAAAACGAAACAAATGCCATAGAATGCCAAACTTACTTACTTACTTACTTAGTTCGAGCTCCCGCTCGAACCAATCCTGAGAATGCCAAAATCAAACGAAAAAGACGGAAACATAAAGAAATGTTCGCCCAGTTCAAATCTGAACTGGCGAGGACCCTGCTGCATTGAGCCACCCCATCATGTCTTGTATATATGTAAATATTACAAACGCACTAATGCACTTGTCCCGTCTTTAGCACACATAAAATCAGTTGTTTTATGTTCCCTTCTCGGTTATCTTTTTTTTTTCACTTTGTTTTTTATGTGCCGGTTCACACATTACTAACAATGCGCAACGGCTGCCAATAATCGATCCTACGTTGTAGGGCTAGGCAGAAATGAAAAAGAAGAAATCTGTTCTTTGTGTATGGAATTGATTGAGCGATCTGTCAATTTGAAATCCCATTGCCAAAAGGGCATGCTTGCAGCAGTCTACGATAGTTCTGGGGAAATACGAGTTTTTGAACACCTCAATTCTTGGTTGATAACTCTGATATTTGAAGGCATGGCTGCCTCTGGTTCTTTTCTTGGCTGGTATCAGATTCTTAGTGGTTGGTACGTCCACCAGTTTATTAGTCATTTTGTACATCATGCACAGTCTGGACAATTTTCTTCTGTTTTCCAGCGACCCCCACTGTAGGTTTCTGTTAGGCAGAAATGAAAAAGAAGAAATATGTTCTTTGTGTATGGAATTAATTGAGTGATCTGTCCAATCTCCTTGCCAAAAGGATATACTTGCAGCGACCGTGTCAGTCCCTGTGTGAGGAGGTCGTGTCAGCCTGCCCGGCAGCCTTCACCAACGGGACTCTCCAGTCAACGGACTGCAGCAGGCTGAACGGTACAAACTGCCTCAACCTGGCATCTCCTCAAGGTACTTTGGTTTATCTACCTCAAGTTTAATCTTTACCTCAAGTTGAACTTTAATCAGTTCATGGAAGAACTGGACTTCTGTGTCTGTGTAGACGGTATAACTGCCATTAATCCGTTATGCTGAGGTCACATTTCCAAACCGGGGCCCGGCCGGGATGTTTAGATTAAGGACAAATTAACAATCTATATCAATAATATACGTAAATAGTTCCCATTATTGATTTTTTTCAACTTTTTTGTGCTTTGTTGTCTTTTATATCATACTTTTCGTTCCATAAGACTGCCCGGCCGAGCCCCGGTTTGGAAATATGACCTCAGCATAACACAATAGCTTCGCAGAATGGGTTAGGGATATATAGATATAAACTTTATTCCAGTTAAAGAAGTACTCTGTTATCATCTCCCTCAAACATAGCAGAGCTACAGCATCTCAATGACAGTTCCCTATGTTCCTTACTACTTCGAGGGTCCACATCACTTTCACACTTTCAAAAATGTAATGTTTTTTATGTAGTTCAAAACTTCATTTACTGTACGTTGTAGATTCCCGTAATTGATAGATCACCAACTTGTCTTGTTTGTATTTGTCTTCATCTTCCACCATGTAATTATGCATGTATCTTGTCAATGACAATGTGTTTTATACTCGTTCTATGTTGGTGAGTAGAAGGTATTATATTTAAGCAACTTTTGATTTTTGCCCAATACTCAATGAATATATGTGAATATTGATCAGGTACGATTCGGATAGTCTTAACATATCCAAGAACGTTTTACCAGGAACGGTTCTGGATACGTAATGCACGTGTTTGGGCAATTGGGTCTGGATAAAGCACAGTTCTGAGTACGACACTGGTGTCTACGGCTGTCTATGTTACACGGAACGACCTGTTACATGTTACAAGTGTAACTTCAAGCGTTGTTTACAGCTGCACTGATACCACCGATCTTGTTCCAGACTGCTACTACGGCAAGGGCCAGAACTACATGGGTACGGCCACGCTACCCATGGAGGGTGACAAGATGTGTCTGAACTGGACGAGCGTTCTGTCTTATCAGCTGCTGTACAACTACAACTGGGCAGACCCGCGGAAAAACTACTGTAGGAACCTCGGTCTAGGTAAGTCTAGTAAAACCCTCTCTGGGGCATAATGTCCAGGTGAGATCCAGGTGCACGGCTAAGTACGGCAGGTGGTGGTGGCGTTGCTCGAAACAAAGTGCAAATCTAAACTACCTGACAGTGTACAATGTGAAAAAAGTGCGGGCCGTCTTAGCATGGCAAGTGATCACTCAGATATGGGAAGGCCCAGTCCCATTTTGAACTTCGGTAGGGATGTGGAAGTGGCTATGTCTGTAGGTAGTTTTTAAGCCTGTTGTGGTACGTGGAATGTAGCTGCTGCGGTATGTGTCTGTTTTACAGTAGAAAGTAAACCCACCCCCACACAATAATATTGATAATAATTTCATTTATTGTTATAAAAGGGGCCTCAACTATTCCTAAGCCCCCTGCAGTATAGTCTGATGTAATAACTGCAGTATAGTATACCACAAATTACCTTAGTATATACATTAGTCCATCACAGATGAGCAAACTGTGCAATACACGTGGGACACAGGCAGCTGTTGCTGGTATTGTGTTCCACACATATAAATGAATACTGGACAGACAATACTCATTTTCACTTGAGTTTAGTGGGGAAAGTCGTGTTAAGTGCCTTTCCCATGGGCACAAGATCGGTGGCATGTCAGGACTCGAACCCGGGACCTCTTGGTCCGAGTAGAGCACGCTGCCGTGGCGCCACACGACCCCACATAATTTTAGTCATGTCAACATTTATTGTTTGTTTGTTTGTTTGTTTGTTTGTTTGTAAATTGTAGAAGGCATGCAGGAGCCTTCTTGTCTGGTCAGCTCTGGTTCAGCAACAGGCGTTGAACTGGTCACCGTGGAACCCTGCGGACTGAAGCCTTGTGGTGGTGAGGACAAATATCATGCCGACTTTCTTCGGTTTGCTTTAGTTTCCAATCAAGTTCTACTCATTTCTAACTTGTTATCCCATGGACGTCATACCTCCAACGTTCCTCATGCTATTCTCTAACACGGGTTGGCTAAGTGAGGGACGAGTACGTCCAGTGAGGGACGAGACCGATAGAGAGATGCCAAGCCATTTTCTAAAACACTTCAAACTTTCTAAAACTTAAAAAAAAAACAATGGCAATAAAATGCAATGTAGTCGAAACCCTATTTCTGCCCCCCCCCCTTACAAAAGCAAGTTCTAATAACAAAGGCCCAAATTGTATGTATGTTTCCACATACTAGTATATGTGTAGTGACGATATTTGGTATGGTAAAATAATAATAACAAAAGCCCAAATTGTATGTATGTTTCCACAAACTAGTTTATGTGGCCATCATGATTGTGGATTGTGACGATATTTGGTATGGCCAAGGTCAAATATTGGCCTCTGGTACCTGACCTTGTTTTTTTTTTGTACGACATATGTTCTACTGATACTATCCTTTCGACAAAATCTTCTTCTATTCCACGTTTACGATCGTACGACCATCGCACGATCTATATGACACCACGAATATCTCACTTCCTCAGCAATCGGATGCAGCGTTCCTCCTGCCGTGGAGTTCGGGACCAGAAGCCCGGTGAAGAACTTCCACCGGCCGGGAGAAAAGGTGTACATCACCTGTAAGGCCGGCTACATGCGGGAGGGGGGCGACATGTTCATAACATGCACAGAAAACGGGACTTGGAGTCAAACGGACAACCTCGGATGCTCGGGTATGGTAGCATATTATATGTAATTTACAGTTCTGCTATGTATATCCTATAATGTAGTAGATAGGCTTGTTGACTTATAATTTTAGCTGTACAGGTAAATTTATATTTTTAGACAAATCTTCTATATTGAAACATACCTGTTCTTACCTTTTTGCCATTACCAAGAAACGAGAAAAAAACGAATTTACATAATCTACTTAATTGTAGTTACTTGACGATGTATATATGTAACGTTATCTGTATTCCATACTTTTGTTGTGACCTGCACTTAACCCAGTGGGTATGTGTGTACAGTAGGTAGCATTATATTCATTCATATAATCTTATGCTGCTCTTGGTAGTGTTTCGAGTTTTTCTAAATGTGTTGTCTCTGTTGGGGGAATGGTATATGATGTAATTCAATCTGGTATTAGACCACTTTCTGAATTCCTCCACATACTACCCACTTACCAGCACCCGGCGCCTGCTGGGAGGAGGGACCTCCCTGCTGTTTGAACTGTCAAAACCACCTCCTATCCACCATGCACCCGAAGCTGTTAGCTCCAATACGAAACATAACCCCAAATCTTAGCCATCAAAAAAATACTTCCTTAACCGAAAGTGCTAAAGTCTCCTATCCTATGAGACTGTATCCCACGTGTCATAAAGTCATTGAAAACGAATTACATTTTATAATAGATTGCCCAACCTATGATGAAAACCGACGAAAATTGTTACAATATATTACATGTAAGACCGATATAACGCTACCCCATACAAAGACAGAGATATTTGATATGATACTATTATGTCCTGTCAATATATCCACTTATGTAGGCCAATTTACACACAGTTCGCTGACAAAACGAGAAAATGTAATGAATTCCTGACACAATATATTACTATCAATAGAGTTAGATTAGTATAATTAATGTCTCCTTATTGTAATACATTGTTTATGAAAGTAGACCAGATTCTTAGTACAGTTAGTAGAACTGTTAGATATTTTTAGCATCACCAACTATGCATGTATGTTAGCATTACCAACTATGTATGTATGTTAGCATCACCAACTATGCATGTATGTTAGCATCACCAACTATGCATGTATGTTAGCATCACCAACTGTGCATGTATGTTAGCATCACCAACTATGTATGTATATTTTGCCATACGTTGTACCCGCTACATCTTAAGTTCTTCTTCTATATCACTTCTATAGTTGACTACAGGATACAGTTGTCCAACACACTGCTGGCCACAGACCGCTACTTGCCTCAACTCCCTCCCAGCACGGGCATCGTCAATATCACCTTCCAGGCCGCCGTGGTCGAAATAATCGACGCAGTAAGTTTTGATACTAACAAAGTAATAGTACCTTCATTTTTGTTTAGTCCTGTGTGATTTTATTAATTAGCATTTTCAGGATATACCTTTATACCGACACTAAGTTCTTTATGAAGCACCATCTTGAAGATACCAGATTGACCATTTTTGCTATTCTTCGATTGATGCGATTTTACTTCTTGGCATTGCATCGTTGGCACAGCATCCCAGTGACAGTTCTCTATGTTCCTTCAAGTTGCTACTTTGAGGGTCCACATCACTTTCACACCTACAAAACTGTAATGTCTTTGATGTAAATCAAAACTTCATTTACTGTACGGGTAGATTCTCGTAATTGATAGATCACCAACTTGTTTTGTTTGTATTTATTTATCTTGGTTTTATCCACCTTGTAATTATGCGTGTATCTTGTCAATGTGTTTTGTACTCGTTGTATGTTTTGAGTAGAAGATGTTATATAAGCATTTTTTTTGCTTTTTGCCCAAAATTCAATAAATATATGTGAATAAATAAATAAATCTTTGACACATGATTTGTCACATTGTCGTGCAGTTTTACGCCTTTTGTTCATTCCCTTACTTACCAGAAGTATCCATTTCCACAGGACGAGAAAAATGAACACATGTTCGGATCCATGGCCTTTCGACTGGTGAGTCGTGGAAACTATTCAGTCAAGTTTTTTTTTTTTAGATCAGCATACACCAGTGAAAACACAGGCACCAAAGCAACCTTTGAAATTATGTTTTTTTTTTATTGAAACATTCAGTGACCAGACGTGGTGGCGACACACTCAAGTTACACTTTTATTCATGTCGCCACCAGACAATGCGTAATACAGGCAAGCAAAGCACAAGTTATCATAGAATACAATAATTTATCAATGAACAAGTGAAACAAATATATAAATACTGACAGGATTGATCAAGATGTTACAAAAGCCGTTTGATTCTAACAAAAAATGTCTGTACATGTAGTAGTATTTGAGTATTGTACATTGTTCACAGAAAAGAAGAACCTCTTCAAAATAAATGTACCAGAATACCATCTCAAAGATCATTCAAGTCAGCAATAAAGCCAATCATTGTTTTCAAGTTGCCAAAAGGGGTATTTCGTTGTTGAGTGTAGTTAGGGCAGTGTAACAAAAAGTGACTAATGTTTTTTACATGGGTGACCACAGGAACAAGCTGGACTTGAAACTAAATTACGAGAACCTATGCTTCTACGTTCTATGACGAAATGTGTGTCATCGCTTAAGTTGTATCATAATAGACTACCAAAGCCCAAAATACTTCGCAGAGGTTTGAAATCTCCGGTGTTTTTTTTACAGAGCTGGAAAGACAACCGCCTGTCCTGGACTCCCGCTAAGTATGGCGATGTGAATCAACTGGTCCTGACCACGAAGGATGTGTGGACACCAAATATCTTCCTCTACAGGAAGTAAGCCGTTGTAGTTAGGATTACTCAAGCAGCTGGATAGACTTGTTTGTTTATTTGTTTGTTTGTCTGTTTGTTTGTTTGTTTAAGGAAACTCCAATTAGTGATAACACATCACCATTCTTCCTGGAGTCCTCTTACACACATAAAATACAACATTATATCATTAACTATTATTTACATACACTTTTAACTACTTTCAAAGAAAACTTGTCTTATCAACATTTGACATATGATGATAATTATACAATAAGCGTCAATGTGTTACACTAAGAATTAACCACATTGAACAATATTATTTACAAAAAGTTATGCTGAATTTCAGTTTCTAGGTTTTGAATAGTAAAATACACATTGAGCATCAATTAATACATCAATTAATAACAATATTACATTATACAAATTAACCAAAAAACAATTGTACTAGATGTCTGACAGGCCCGAAGTCATGAATTTGTTTAAAGTATATTCAAAACGTTTACCACCAGGAGGTTCAAGTAGAATCCACTTCTCGTCAGTGACTGTACATACAATGATGAAGTTCAGCGTATGACTGTACGTTTGTTTATTAACTCCATGAAAAAATGGAGGTATTGTTTTTGGCGCGTCTCTGTGTGTGTATGTGTATTTGTGTGTGTGTGTGTGTGTGTGTGTGTGTGTGTGTGTGTGTGTGTGTGTGTGTGTGTGTGTGTGTGTGTGTTTCCGCACATTTGTAGTCAGCATAACTTCAGAACTCCTTTATGGATTGTGATGATGTTTGGTATGCTGGTAGGTCTTAGGAAGCCAAAGGTCAAGGTCAAATATGGGCCTCCTAGTGGCTGACCTTGGTACTGCAGTAGAACTTCCGGAAAAATGGGTGTGCGGGGTGGCAGAGAAACAGATGTGCAGGGTGGCAGGGAAAACAGATGTGCGGGGTGGAGGCAGCGCCTGCCCGGTTTGATTAATGGGTTCTCCCTCGGGAAAAGCCTACATGACCATATCCAGGCCAAAGGTGGTACTGTGTGTTTGAAACCAAAAACCTGTGTTATTTTGTTCTGTACTATAGTGTACTGTGTAAAAACATTTAGAAAAACTCATGTATTTCATGAAGGTATGAGATCTCCGAATTCTTGTTACTTACAGCGGAGATGCCAAGTTCAGCACGTTTCCAGATGCACCCGTCACAGTCACCAGTGACGGAGAGGTTGGGTGGGACATCGTGGATCTCCTGACGACAACCTGCGACCTCGGTAAGATTTCAACCACCAAATGGTGATGGCCAATGGTAGTTTTTGGTGCCAGCCGTGTTTCATCAACATATCCTTTAAATAATAATCACAAAGTTTTCCCCAAAGCGCTTATTAACCCTAGCTAAACCTAACCCTAACCCTAGCTAAAGTAAATATCGATCAAAACAGGGACACCTTGGTATCATTGGAAAGCTCATCCGGCCAGAAGATCAAAACTGCAAACCAAAAGTAGATATTGTTTGTCGTTGCCGAGATATTTCAATTAAAAGTTAACCCTAACCCTAATCTAACCCTAACTAAAACAGGAACATCTTGGTATCATTAGAAAGCTCATCCGGCCAGAAAATAAAAACCGCAAACCAAAAGTAGATATTGTTTGTCGTTGCCGAGATATTTCAATTTAAAGTTAATCCTAATCCTTACCCTAATTAATGGGGCTGTGCCATACGCTTTACCATTTTCCTGTGCAAACGTATACTGTAACTTTTTTTCGTCACTTCATGTTCAACCACGTGCACGTGTCCCACATGTAATGAAAATATTGAAGATGAATTTCACTTTGTTATGTCTTGTCCCACCTATAGAAAAGAACGAGATACATTTTTACAGACTATTACCACTAAGACAAAGTTCACCATACCTGGTACACAGTGCGATACATTCCATAAATTATTGTCATGTCCAACTACCATATCTGCCTACGTAAGCCAATTTCTGTACACTTTATTTCATAAGCGAGATCATATCATCAGTACATGTCCATATTGTAACTCATATACTATATAGATAGTAGTTTGTAGTAAGAAATGTAATAAGATAGTTTAGTTTTGTAATGTTGTTGTATTACTGCCACACATTGTACCATGTACGATTGTCGAGCAATAAAGTTCATTCATTCGTGTTTAAAGTTGAAACTTTTGGTCCAACACAAAAAAATTCTCTCACCTAGAGCTTTCGACCAGTCACTCTGGTCTTCCTCAGTAGACTGACCCAGTGAAACTTGTCACGTGGCTTCTTTGAAGTGTGACATCAACACTGGGTCAAAGGTATCCGGTAGACGATGTCGGCCCCCGTCGGTTCAATGTAGGGCGATGGGCCCTGATGTATATGGCTTCCTTCACCCCTCTCAAGAAATAGTCTTGTTCAGTGTCTAAACTCCTTAGATTATATAGATAGATCTCATTCATTCGTATTGTTGCAGAGCCGGCTCTCTTCCCCTTTGACACCATGTCGTGCCCAGTGTGCCTGGGAACGACGACAAGTGTAGAACGGTTTCATTGCAAAGACGAACAGGACAGCGAGAAGACGATACAGTCGGACTCGTACATAGACCATTTCATGAAATGCGGCGATCAAATAGAGGAAGTTGTGGACCAATGGAACGGAAAATGGACGGTATCTATTAAGTTTCTTTCGCATAATCGGTAAACCCCATAAGGCGTAACACACCAGTTTTGTACATGTACGTACATGTACAAGCTGCGTAAGACCGGATTGTAAGGTTTGAACCACTCACACCGGGAAGGTCCTCTACTCTTTTCAATAAGTGCGGTGGGTTCTTTAACGTGCATGGGTTGTGGCTCTCAAACAAATTTCTGTTTGTTTGTTTGTTTAGTACTCTGAAAAAAATTATCAGTTTACTGAATAAACGACTAGGACATCCTATATACATTTTTTTTTAAATTTTGCAATAATTGTTTGTATCTAAGGAATACGAAACTAATGGTAGGACTGAAGGAAATGCATTTCAATACAGGCGTTTCCTGAACAATATGTTACCAACTTGGATCAGCAAAATTGCATAAACATAGCACATTAGGGTATTATAAAGATAGTAGAATTCTTTTCCAGATTCAGATTGGCAGATCAAGTTATTATGATTTTTCTCTACACCAGGTTTCAGTTACTGGCGGAGCTTTCGGGAGCGGCTGTATCGAAGTAATGTTTGCCCGCATCCCAACGTTCCACTTCTGCGCCACTCTGTCTCCGCCCATCATCCTCTCCATCCTCATGTGCATCACGTTCCTAGTTCCCACAGACAAGGTCAGGAAATCGCATACGTCTATAAAAAATATGCAAATACTTAGTATGTGATTAGGATTTATAATACGCTTATGCATCCTCCCGACGAAGGGGTGCTTCCTTGCTAGTAGCTGTATCAACCCTGCCAAACTACCCGGCCAAAACCACTTCTACAGGCTGACGAGCTTCAGCCAATCAGAGGCATAGCTTTCGGTAGTGTAAAGCTAGGCCAAAGGTTGTTTGGAAACTGTAAGCCAATCACATTATGGCTTACATCGCTTCTTTGGTTTCAATGAAAACATCCTGTCAGCTATGTTTGGGGCCAAATGTGCAGAGAATTGTTTGAATCGGCATTAGCAGCGCACGGTACAGACACTGCTTCACAACAGAGACGTCTTCCTAAGTGTAAGGATAGGTGGGGGAAAGGTCTGAGTTGTATTTTAGCCAGCGAAACAGGAACCCAGAAATGTTTTACATGTCCGCCATGTTGAATTTAGGTAATCTGTGTGCTGATTGGTGTGTGCCAAATAAGGCAAGCTCATGAATATTTATAAATCAGGCCCTGAAGAGGACGACTGTGGGACTGATGGGGCAGAGGTAATCCCAAGGCTGACTAACGTATTTGCCGCGGGATAGCTCTGCCTTTGGCATAATGTTTAACCATTGGTTAATAATATAAAATATATAAATTATTAATAATAATATAAACACAGCCCAAACATGCGTTGTGTCTATCTAGGGAGATCGTATCTCATTTGGCATCACGATTCTGCTGTCCATGGTGGTCTCTCTCGTCTTTATCACGGATGTACTACCGGCCAAGGGCTCCATGCCTGTTGTTGGTAAGGGTTCTTGTATTTGGCTATGGTGATTTTTCAAAGAGGGAAATTTTGGAAAGAGTTCATTACATAATATTATTTGTTAAATGCAAAGAAGCAAGCTGTTTTAGTCTTAGATTGGTTTGAAAAGTGTAACCAATGAAAGCATCAGTTTATACTTAAAGCATGAATGTAACTACGCTAGTTATCTATGCAATTTGATTTTTTTTTTAATTTTTGATTTGATTTATTGAAATTGCAACAGTGCAATACACCCGGGACAGCGGCAGCTGTTGCTGGTGTTGTGTCCAGCAACAGCTACCGCTTACATACAAGCAAATACTGGTACAAAGTCTTGTGCCTTTCCCAAGGGAACAAGATCAGTATCATGTCAGGACTCGAACCCGAGACCTCTTGATTCCGAGTCGCGCACGCTGCCGCTGCGCCACACGACCCCACAATTTATGCAAGACACAGTGCGACTGTAGTGCTAATAAAACCTTTTAACCAAGGCACGTAACAACATTATGCTGACTTTTGTCATCTCTACCTACTTACTTCCAGCGATCCTGCTCGTACTGTACATGTGCCTGATGGGGATATTCATGCTTATCACTGTTGTCACTTCCAGCGATCCTGCTTGTACTGTACATGTGTCTGATGGGGATATTCATGCTTATCACTGTTGTCACTTCCAGCGATCCTGCTCGTACTGTACATGTTGTAGAATTTAGGGATCGGTGTACTTTAGGTGTTGGGCTAACTTTACTCACGCAAGTTACGCGTCTATATGATCTGCTAGTTAACCAAGTAAAACACACGGAGACGGGTCGATTCAGATTGTACGGGCTGTTGTATTATGATCTATCTGCTGTATATACAAGTCAATACCGAGTCGATGGTCTAGTTACAATGGTCTAGTCTTAGAGTTGCAAGTACAATGGTCTAGGTTACAGGAGTGGAATCTACGAACTACAAGGAGTGTGTGTCACTAACCTGGGGTCCTGGTCTCGACTGATTCAAACGGAAGCGGCTAGCTAATATCTAATCCTGACGCTGACTGCTCTCACCAGTCATTGGCTAATCTAATGAGGATGTAAATGAACTAAGGAGGTAACTATCTAAATATGGCTACTAAGCACTACGTCATATGTCACTACGTCACGGGAACCATAAATCACTAAATCAGGGCTGTTACACTATCCCCTCTCCTTTAAGCAGTGTGCGTCCTCGTACACTACCTAACTATAATCACCAGGAGAGTATGTTAACTAAAATCACCGTACAATCAGAACATGAAAAAAGAAGGGAAAAAAAAAGTAAAAAAAATAACAGAGTTTGACATGTCCATACTATACATCAAGTGTCTTAGCTTGACCCAACAAGAGTACCAAAAAATGTCGAGAGCCGGCTACCCAACCCTACTCATCCATAAAATATTGCCGAAAGAAATCCGAAAAAGAGTATGTCAATCTTTCATGAGGGGGAGGTACGATTTTTCCTGTGCTCTAACCGACTGCAGGTGTTTACTCACCTGTGGTACTCCTGTTTATGTATCCACCATACATAATCATAATCACACTTGTCAAAATACATGTCAAAATAACATAGTCATACATCGCAAGGTAACACAAGGCAATAGTAAGCTACAATACAATATGATACGTTACGATAAGACTAAACTACTATAAGATACAGATATTTACAGTTCTGAGTGTGCTTCACAAAGATCAGGACCAAGGCGTGACGGCGGGGACTGGCACATACCACACGACAAGGGGCAGGCGCACGAGCGGCACCGACGGAAGACGAAACTCTCACAAGAACACCTGGATAATCACTTAAACTGACACCCGAGTAGCCTTAACGCATACTCACCAGAGGAGAGATTTACTCCTAATCTCCTTGGAGATTACTGACTCAATCCTCAAAGTCATACTATACCTGAGAGATGGGCACGCAGCACGCGAACGACGTCGGCTGGAGAAGCTACCTCCTTGACTACGGCGTGCAGAACAGAAACGTGTATACCTACCATCCTCTCAGCTCCGGAGGTACTTCACATGTCCTCGGGAACGACTAAAACTTACTACTACCTGATACCTAAAACCCAGGTACGTAGCCACAGTGATTCACAGGGGGGGACAGAGATCGACAACGCAATCGGCACGCGCTCAGGCGCCACCCCACCCCGCCGAACGATAAGTGCCGTCTAAAACCCAGTGTACGCGGAGGTTTGACCTTGTTCTGCACAACTCAGGTAAGGAGTCCGACTAGTCACTAGAGTCACTATAGTCCAGTTCTATGTAATCATCCAGACGCGTCGGTCTCCGTCGCTGCCGGCGTGGTCTCGGTCGCAGGTCGTCAACAGCGGCGCTCGTCGAAGGTGGCGTCGGTCGCAGAACGTCGGCAGCATGGCTCGTTGAACTCCGTCCCGGGTCGTCGACATCGGGGTCGTCAGGGCACGTCAGGTAGGCACTGGAACCGTCCGTGTCAGGATACACAGCGTCCAGGTTAGCAGGCTGTCTCAGCATGGGTCGCTCATCGCCAACAGCGTCCCGGTTAGCAGGATGTCTCTGCCTGGGTTGTACCGGAACCTTCGGTCTGGTCTCCCCATCAGCCTCATCATCACCGTCGGACGTCTGGTCAGAACCTGAAATGGAAGAAGAAAAAGTGCCCTGGGAGGCCTCCTCCCCTGACGTTACGGGACTCTCTGAAAGGGAAGGTGCGGGGCGCCGGTTACGGTTAGGGCGGGCAGGACGGCGGGGACCGTCATTCCGCGGGTCGTAATCCGGATCCACCTGTGTGTGTGAGAAAGGTATGAGATTCTCAAAATGCACTACCTTCTGCTGTCGTCTCCCTCTCATGTTGCGCACTTCGTACGTAAGATCGCCAATGCGGCGCACGACCTCAAACGGGCCGTCATACTTCCGCGCCAATTTCCGGGCAAGTCCCTTTCCTACCTGTTTGTGGAGAACAAAGACAGTATCGCCAATGTCATAGGGCTTGCCATACGTTTTCTGGTCGAAGAGCTCTTTCTGTCTACGTTGCTGTTGTTGTGTATTCTCCTGCACCATTTTGAATACTAGCGGTAGGCGGTTTTGGATTACCTCCACGTAGTCAGGGACTTCACCAACGAAAGTAGGGACACGCGCCATGAGGTGAATGGGGAGGCGAGCCTCGCGACCGTGCAGTAAAAAGAAAGGCGAAAAACCAGTGGTCGCGTGGCAACTGGTATTGTAAGCAAACTTGACTGCAGGCAAGTGCTCATCCCAGTCCCGCTGGTTGGACGCCACGTAAGCGCGCAAGATGTTTCCCATGGTCCTGTTGAAGCGCTCAACAAGACCATCTGATTGGGGGTGATAAGGCGTCGTCCGAGTCTTATGGATTTTCATCAGCCGACAAAGGCCCTTCACCAACACAGAATCGAAATTTCTACCCTGATCTGTGTGTAAAGACTGTGGGGGGCCGTGGACACAAATCCAACCTTTGTAAAAGCACTTAGCCACAGACTCCGCCGTCTCATCCTCCATTGGGAAAATCTCGACCCACTTAGTAAAATAGTCCGACGCGACCAAAATGTACTTGTTACCCGAACGCGACTTCGGGTAAGGGCCAGCGATGTCCATGGCGACGCGGTCGTTAGGGAAGCCGACTATGCTAGACTGCAGGGGGCCTCGGGGTTTGCGTCTGCCAGTCTTGCTCCGGATGCACGTCTCACAGCCGGACACGTGGGCAGTCACGTCGTGTTGCATGCCGGGCCAGTGGAAGGCAGACCTAAGTTTATCTAGGGTCTTATCTACGCCTAGATGACCGCCCAGCGGGTCGTCATGGACCATCTTAAGTACGCGAGGGACGAGCGCCCTTGGGAGCAGTAGTTGCAGCTGTTGTCCCAGGCCCTCATTTCTAGTCCAATTTCTGTAAAGAACGCCGTCCCTAAATTCTAGACATGGCCAATGAGAATACAGCGTGCGTTGTTCCCGAGTTAGCCTTTGTAGGTCTAACTGGTTAGGTTGAGTGCCTCTTTGCATGTCCAAAACGAGGCAAATCACTAAATCAGGGCTGTTACAATGTGTCTGATGGGGATATTCATGCTTATCACTGTTGTCACTTCCAGCGATCCTGCTTGTACTGTACATGTGTCTGATGGGGATATTCATGCTTATCACTGTTGTCACTTCCAGCGATCCTGCCTGTACTGTACATGTGCCTGATGGGGATATTCATGCTTATCACTGTTGTCACTTCCAGCGATCCTGCTTGCGCTGTACATGTGCCTGATGGGGATATCCATGCTTATAACTGTTGTTACTTCCAGCGATCCTGCTTGTACTGTACATGTGCCTGATGGGGATATTCATGCTTATCACTGTTGTCGTCATCAAGATCAGCACATACGTAAGTCAACAATCAGCCTCATACTGTAGCTGCATGGCACCATTAACACAAACCATCAGAAGGGTAGTCATGGTTCTTTTCAGATTAGGCCACAGCAAGTAATTTCTATGCATGATATCAGTGCGCGCATCGATTTTCGGCTGATTTGGGGGGAAAAAGACATTTTGTTGCCCTTTGACAGTGGCTAACATGCCGAAAATGGGCAAAATTGCATGCCTTGCCATGCTGGAACGTGTATGCATATATGACAGATAAACATAAAGAGAGGAGACAAGGCAAGGCTCTGATGTATTGTTTTAACTTTTAGTTTGATACAGTGATGTATTTCATTCCTTTTATATGTTCCCACTGAATCAAAACCATTTGTACAATGATTGAAATCGATATTAAATTGTTAAATATCGTTGTATGTACATTGTTGATGCTTTACTGTACTTATGTCTTTTTATATGTATTCAGTGTATTTTCCATGTATGTGATTATGTAATTTTAATATTTGAGCCTTGGACGATCAGCCCTAAAAGGCTTCGAAATATAAATATAAATAAAATGAAATGTCCCCAATTCGCTAAAGTTAAAGGTGTTGGCCATTAAGCTTCTAGAACCCTGACCAGTAGCGTAATACAGTCAAACCAGGTCTCAATATGAATAGCAAAGTTCTTTGATCACAACCATTTATTTTTACGAGCCGACGTTTCGATTACCGTCTGTCATCTTCATCAGGGCAATTCTGACTGGTTTACTGTGTACTGACGCTAGATGTTACTTGATGCATAGTGCACTAAAGGCCATAAAGGTGTTACATGGTTCACAGTGCACTGTTACTTGATCACAGTACACAGAACCAAGTAACAGTGCACTGTGAACCATGTAACACCTTCAGTGTACTATGCACCAACTTGAAGTAACATCTAGCGTGAGTGCTCAGCAAACCAGTCAGAATTGCCCTGATGAAGATGACAGACGGTCATCGAAACGTGGGCTCGTAAAAATAAATGGTTGTGATCAAAGAATTTTGCTATTCATTCCTTTACCAACCTGATGAAATTATTTACGTAGGTCTCAATATGTTTATCACAGAAAAAAAAAACATTTTTTACTTTTTGTCTCCTATAGAAAGGGGACCTCCCAATCGTCGTCAGGAAGGTATTTCTCCGGTACATCGCGAGGGTCGTCTTTCTTGGGGACTTGACACAGAAACCACGCGCAGCGCAAACGTATTCCGTGGAAGTAAAGGTGCCGGTCAATCGGAAGAAAGATGACAGTGGCACAGGGAAAAGCACAAGGTATGCACCTTAAAACGTCGGTGAAGGTTACACATCAAAATAATTCTAGAATCTTTAATTGCATGTTCATGCCCATGGGGCTAAATGCATACATCAGAATGTGATGTTACATGTACATCATACTGAGTAACATGATACATAGGGTACATGGATAACAGAATAACGTAAAAGTCTTAACAACTACTAGGGAATAAACTAATCTAATATTTCTTCTCTCTTTTGAAAGATAAGAGATAAAATTGGAAATTGGAGATAAATTCACATATATCTATTGTATGGTCATTACTGGTGGACATGAGATGACTGAATACCTCTTTCTTTCTACTGTCTTTATACAGTTTGTCTATAGTAAGTGGATTGTTCTAAATAGTGTGTCACGTTCGTTATCATACAATTTACAATCATGTACAAAATGTATTTCATCTTCTACGCTTCCAGAGTTACAAACCTACAATAATAAGATACGCCAAAATAAACTGGATATGATTTATATATGAAAGAATATATGAAAGAATGTACAACCCTACCTTCCACAGGGAAGGGGGGCTACGGGTAGATCTCTCCGGCACTTAATATTTGGCGCTCCCAGCCCCTAGGACAGACAACACTTAACTTCCTTTTCTGAAACAACAGGAGGTTCTTTCGCTAATTTGCATCATCCTTGTCTTGACTTTTCTAACGTTTGTTTCCTTTTGGACTTTCAAAAAAATTGTCTTCACTTATTTGTATATCGATCAATAGTTCGTGCTTATAATTCTGCAATTGTCCTGCAGTCTCTTAGTGCCAGCGACGAAAGGCAGTGGGTGCGAAATAAAACGTCTGCACCTTGAACGTTTAGTATCTCACTACTATCTTTATGTACTACAGAGTTCTAGCCAGGATTTTCCATAACATAGGGGACAGGTACAGAAAAGCAACGTCGTGGCACAAATCGCACATTGAGCCGAAAATTTTTGAAACTCATAACCCCCTGAGACACTATGTCTTGTTTAATGTGGAACAGATTTTGTGAGGTTATGGTTTTCCCTTTGCTATAGTTATAGCTGGTTAAAACTAAGCATAGGGGTCAAAAGTATAGCAAAGAGGTAAAATATAGCATAGGGGGTCAAAATTATAGCATATATATATAGGGGGTCAAAATCATTGCATAGGGGGCCCTATGCTAAAACGGCCTGGCTAGAACATTGTACTACGTCTCAGAAAACCCCACTGTATTTGAAGCCGAGCTTTAAATGACAATGACAATGAACTTTATTGCATATTCATGCCCTACATGGGCCAAATGCACTAAGTTGGATAACTATAGGTACAGGTATAGCAGAAACAAGTGTTATACTTCTGTGCTATAACTATAGGTACAGGTATAGAAGTAACAAGTGTTATACTTCTGTGCTACGTCTCTAACTACAGGATCTATCTACATGATCTCCTCTCTCTTTCTGAAACATGTATGAACATATTTACATAGCTTTTCATTTACATCGTAGTGCTTGGATGTCATAATATATTTGAACAGTTCTGCTTTTGACAAGTATGTATATTTCTTCTCTAACTCTAAGGAATTGGTTAAAGAATTCCGCATATCAGTGTATAACGGGCATTCTAAGACAAAGTGTGCTTCATCCTCTACACAGTTACTGTTACATAAAGTGCAAATTCTGTTACTTGTTGGAGTCTGGTTATACCTACCAATTTCGATCTGTAATTGGTGATCACTAATCCTTAATTTTGTCAATGCTCGACGATGACTAAACTTTTGCACATCTAAACATTGTTCTTTTTCATATGTAAGCTTAATTGTTTTGTAAGTTCTTAACTTATTTCCTTGTCTTCCATTTTTGCTATATTTGGAGTTTATTTCTGAGTAGAAATATTGCAGAAAATTGTCTTTTAGTTTTTATTTTAGTTCAGATTGAGCAGATGATGTGTTTCTGTCTTTTTGGAGTAAAGTAAAGTACTTATATTTGACAACCAGCAAGGTATTTTACATCGGTGCAGGTCTTGCTGCACTAATAGAGCTTCATATAGTAAGCTCTCTTTTGGTATTTCTTTAACTAATCTTTTATAATATGAATAAATTTTAGTATACACTTCTATCCACAGTGGGTATCTTCCTAGTTCTGCCCTTGCACCAAGATTGCTGGCATTCTTTCTTACGCCAAGGAGAGACTTACAGAATTTTAAATGTGCTTGTTCCATTGGAGAGTTGTCGTTTAGTCCGATCTTGCCCCAAACTTCAGCACCGTAGGTTAATATGGGAACAACGCATGCATCGAATAGTTTACAGTATGCTGATACTGATGCATTACTGTCTCCTAAACTTGATTTTATACTGAAGAGGGCTCGTAAGGCCTTTTTTAAAACAAATACAAACAAACAGAGTTGACGTCAGCTGCTAATTCGTTACTTGTACGCCAATCTTTAGTGAACCAACACCGGCTGAACCCAACAACCAACCGGAACTGATGCTGTCTTTGAGAGACTCCATCAGATCCCTGGGTGATGCCGTGAACAACCTCGCCACCTCGCGACCGGCAAAGACGGGCGGCAAAAGGGGCGAGATTAAGACGGAGTACCAGAAACTAGCCATGGTCTTAGACAGGGTGTGCATGACTCTCTATGTCTTCTTCCTAGTCGTCTCTATTCCCATCATCAGGTTTGCTGTTGGTAACACGGAGGAATGATACTTTAAACTTGAAAATCATGTTAGATCGAAATATTTAGTCAAACATTTCATTTTCAATGTACGGCTAGAATATAAGTTGTGCACAACTTGATATGGAATGAAGTAAAGGATATAATCCTAGTAAAACAAGAAATACGCATGGTGTCCAAGATATCTGAATGTAGTACTTTCTGCGTAGACATTTTTATAATTAAGAATGTAACTTTTATGGTAACTGTAACAGTGTTTTGTCAACAAGTGGTTTTACCCGAAGTACCTACAGTTAGACTTACATGTATATCAACTTGCTTGTTAATTGCAAGGGTACGTATACATTTATATAGCGAATATAAAATTGATATAATGTGATGTTGTGCATATATGTTATCGGCTTTTTAATCACACAGTGTATTTGCGGATCGGCAGACGTGTTTGTTTGTTTGTTTGTTTGTTTGTTTATTTAGGAATCTCCCATTAGTGATAATATATACATCACTATATTCTTCCTGGAGTCCTGTACATAAAATACAACTATTATTTACATACACGTTTAAATGCTATCAAGGACATTATACGACAGGAAAACATATCTTATCAACATAGTAAATTACACATTAAGCATCAATTATTACATCAATTAATAACATTACTTTATACAGTTATCAATTAATACTATTACATTATACAGTTAACCAAAAAAAACAATTATGTAATAGTTGTCTGAGAGACGTGTGGTTAATACTACAAGGTTTAGTGTTCTAGATAATTATTATGTTGAACAAGTGCATTAATTACTGCATGTTTTCTACAAGTTGAATGGCTATTTGATAACAATCTCTGTTACATAGGTACATTCTGTTGCAACTGATTGAAACTGTTGATAGTTTTTATGTAATGACCATACAAGCATTACTAACCATGCAATAGTATTCTACTTTCAAGATGATAGCTACAATATCTAACCCTGCATTTTATCACAAGGTCGTGCGTTTTGGGAAACTCTAAGGCAATGCTGATTTGATTATATGGATGACATCCTCTGAAAACCCCAAAACTGATGCGAGCGTGCGAATACAAAAAAATGGCGAAAAAAAGTTGTTTTTATTGTGAAATCTACGTGGTTATGAAGGTTGAGCAAATGACACAGAGTATGGTATGACGAATAATCTAGTCTTCAAATTAATTTCTTTACATTTTGTCTTTTTCGTTTGATTTTGGCATTCTACGATATTGGTATCGTTGTCCAATATTTTTTTTTTAATTTGTGGCATATATTAGCTCATTTTGCTACTGTTTTATGATTTACAGTATGGTTGAAAACTTTTGGGGGGGACGGCCAAAAATTCATGCGCGCGCGGATGTCATCCATATAATCAAATCAACATGGCCTAACTTATATTTGTGGTATGTATCAATAAGTACAGTTTCATGAAGTGACTGGTGGTGGTATTATAGATTGGATTAATGATCTACGACTTAGCTTAAAGTACATTCAGACTTACGTTTATGTATTAGGTGTTTGTTTTGAAAGGTAAAATATACAAAATGTTCGGCTCTATTTCTTGTGTAATTGATCATAGTAAACTGTAATGCACAACAGTTATACATGGTACAACACATGACATAGACTACAATTCTGTACTATATAACATACAAACACACTATGGGAGTAACCTGCCTTACTCTGTACTGCAAAATTGCTAAGCTTAACATTCAGGGAAGGATTGGAGACAAAATCAGGCTACATGTTGGAGACCTTATTTTAAAGGTATCCAACTTAGTGGGATTTCAGAGCAGCAAAAGTGGAATAATTCTGAATAAGGCAATCTTTATGATATTGACATTAGCATCTTTATGATATTGACATTAGCACATTTCAATCAATATTTCATACTTTGTCTATTTAAAACTGCAGAAACAAGCTCCAAGATGAGTCCTTTATTTTATGGGTGGTACCCTAAAAATCAGCGTAGGGCCCTTCCAGTAAGCATTTTCCGTCAGCATTTCTGATATTTTTGTTCCATGAGGGTCAATATCCAGTGGGACAGTGTGGTTTCAACTCAGTATGTAGATAAATGACTAGAATATTGACTTTGAAAAATCCAAGCCCTAAAAACTGCCCTGAATGCCTTTAAAACTTTCCTTTGTTTTGCTGTTATTTTTCTGACAGTGATATGAACCAGCTGCATGCGACAATCCGTGTCCCCTAAGGCACGATGATTTAAGCTGGCGGTTAATCACACCCTATACACGCCGCCTTGTCTAACCGGCGTCGGCCTGCCCTTTGGAAACCATCCGTGCAGTGTAGCTCTTAGGCCACAACAAGTAATTTTTATGGATGACATCACCGCGCGCATTAATTTTCGCCTGATTTTGAAAAAAAAAGTTTGTTGCCTTCTGACAGTGGTCAACATATCGAAAATGGGCAAATATGTCTGCTGCCGTGCCGGAAGGTGGATGGCAGATAAATATGAAGAGAGGAGACAAGAAAAGGCTTTGATTTAATGTTTTGTTTCTTACTTCCATGCAATGATATGTGTTGCTGGCTGTGTATATGTGATGTTCCTATTGAATTAAAACCATTTGTGCAATGATTGAGTCAAAATTTTAAATTGTAGGAACCTTGTTTTTTTTTCGGCTCACCTTTTTTTTCGCCCGCTCGCATTAGATTTGGAATCTGGGGAGGATGTCATCCATAGAATTTACTTGCTGTGGCCTTACTCCTTCAGGCGGCCTTTATAATAAATTGGTACGCTTACGCAAAGACGTGAGACAGATACTGGTAAACGTTTGTATGGATCTTGTAATTTTGGTACCCACTCAAAGAGCGACGTTTCGCCGAGTGATTTAGAAGAATTTGCACGCAAAGCTTTTCCATACGCAGCTAAGGTGAGTGTGTACTAAGTAGATGCTCCTTACATAGCATATTGACAAAAAATATGGGTTCCCTGCTGCTGATATCTAATGGCACCCTGTTTTGAGCAGGGTTGAACTTTGACTACAATATAAATATTATTATCATGTTTCATTGTTATCATCATTGCCTTGTCTGTTTGTGTAGTTATCGACCTTACGAAGGTCGCTGTACTTTTTGTTGTGTCAATAAAAGTTCATCATCTATATTAGGCTGTATAAGCTCGAGTTACTGAGATATTGTTTTGAACTTTTTATTGCTATACAATGTATGATATAACAAAGGGTTTGCAGATTTTTGTCTTCTTCTGTCTTGCTTATTGTTCTGATGGGTCACTGCACTAAAACAGTATGACTCGGCGGCTTTCGTCCATAAGTGGCCTGCTCGTCCTCGTTACATTTGCGTGCGGTCAGCAAGGCTCGGGACCCCAACCAGGGTCGGAGGAGCCGCCCACAGTCCCGGCAGTGTCGGACAGAGTACCGCAGACTGAGGTCAAACTACAGGCCGGCAGCGGGGTGTTCAACAGTCCCGGCTTTCCTGACAACTACCCAAGTATGTGTTCATCGTCGGCGTTTGAATTTAACCCTGATTTAAAAAATTATCATTTGTTGTTGTCATGAGGATCAAAATTAAGGCTGTGCATTCATGACTTTCACACTTCCCATAATGCCTAGTACAGATCACGGATATGACGTATGACCACCCCTCCCCCTTCCTTGATGTAACATTTCCAACAAGTTCTATCGACAAACTGGTCAACTATTGTTTTGAATTATTTCTCTAGTATAAAGCGCATGCCACAATAGCATTTTTGTTGGAATTAGAGAAAATGACGTGCCTTCTATCGTTCTATATCTACCGAAGACTTTCCTACTTGCACTGTCACATTACGTATATCTGCATCTTACATCATATCCGTGATGTTTACTAGGCATTATGGGAAGAGTGAAAGCCATGAATGTGCAGTGAGATGAATTGTGGGTAATAATAGGTCAAAGGTGGAGGCCTCCGGAGACTTAAGGTCTCGGACCGGAGTTTTTTTCACGATTTTGGATCCGGCGGACACCCTCAGACCGAAGGGCTATAACTCCGCCAAAAAAAGTACGCCGGGAAATCTCATTACATCAGTCAACTGAGGTTTCCAGCCGGCTTCCGATACAATTTTGGTTATTGTCCGTCGACTCTATAATTTGGGTAGAAACTGTAGTTAAACGTAAATTTTGGATACGAAAAATGTAGTTTTTTTGCAGTTTTTTCAACGGACCTGCTTGGAAAAAACGAATTTTCCCAGGCTAACGGCTTATATGCTGAAATAGCTTACTACTTTCTGTTTCTGAAAAACAGAAAAAAAATATAGGTTGTTGCGATAAGTTTTTCACAAAATCCGGTGACGCGAACCCCTAGAAATTCCACATAGAACGCAGCTATTTGGGTCATCAGGCGACAAACCGCATCACCCTTGCTCGCGGACTAATACCAAAAACGCTTCGCTGGCCGTCCAACTTCACCGCGCCGAAAAACACTACAATCCCAAGGCTTTTTGATCAATTCAAAACCTAGTTGAAAATCTACAGCGATCACCGAGCTATGGGCAGCCAAACCTAGCGTGACAACCTCGCAGATCCGGCGATTTACTGCGCACTATTTGGAACCCTGGTCAGAATTAAACTCCGACCCGGAACCATAAACAAATTTGTTTATTTATTTATTTATTCATAGAAAAAACAAAGCACGTCTGGACCTGTATATGTTGGTATAGTTTCGGGGGCCTTCACCTTTGACACTGGGCATGCGCAGTTGTAACTGTGAACCTCCTCATTATTCGGTCTCCATTCACCCCAAACACGCTACATTATTTCAGTTCATCCATGAAATGCTGCCCTACTTAGTATGTCCATGGAGGTAAATTTTTCTACCTCCATGGTCAGACCTTTCTCAAACTATTCTGTCTTATGCCTTGGTCCCAATGTCCATTGCGCCGGTGCCCGTCGGGGATGTAGTCCCGGCTGGTCTGTGACGTAGCAAATTGTTCCGGTGGACTACCGGCAACCGAAGGAGACCTCTCGGTGTCCTCACTGTTAGGTCTCGGCGTCTTTTTGTCAGCGGGGCCCGGGTAGAATTTGTCAGAACTAAATTCTTCTCGGATCCCGGCCGGGCAGAAAATAGCTCGGTACCCGCAGGGTGTTCCACAAGACCACGTAGGGGTCACCTAAAAGTGCCAAAAAACTACCCGGCAGGGCCTCTTCTTCCAATTGGGACCAAAGCATTAATTAGAAATATTTTGCTTCATGACTCTTCCACAGACAATACACACATCCGTTGGAACATAGAGGCCACCTTTGGCAACTGCGTACGTTTGACCTTCGACCAGTTTGACCTTGAAAAGTCCGAGATCAATCCGACCTGTATCTGGGACTACGTGGCAGTGTACAATCGTGATGGAACAGACAACAGGGATGTTCTTATAGGTAAGACGGTCATTTGGTGATCCGCGTGAAAGTTGATATTATTTTATAGAATTAAAACCATCACATATTACCTTTTATATCATACCCGGGCCGCGATAACGTTCGATATAAACGGGTTCCGGACCGGTCCGTACTTTACGGTACGGCCCGGGCTCCATGGCTTCCATAGAACGATTCGAACGCACGTTTTGCCCTTACTGCGTTTGCCGCTTTCGAAAATCCGAATACAGAATACGGACATTGGAATCGATGTTGCATTTTAGGGTTAAGGGGCACCAACTTTTGGCTCATCTTGCATTGAAAAGTGCGTTTTATGAGTGGGTATGACATAAGTAAAATACAACACGGGGTATTCCACATCGCCCTCGGTCCCGACCCTCGGTCATCGCCCTCGGTCCCGACCCTCCCGACCCTCCCTCGGATCGCCCGACCCGCGGTCATGCCGATACCTTGGGCGATACGGAATACCCCGTGTTGTAGTCTATGTTAACGTTAGCGGTATTTTCTTTGACCTCTCTGTATTGGACATTCTCTTGTATATCAATATTGCATTTGTGTTATGATGCATATTTATGCTTACCTTCACACTGAAAGGTAAACATATTGTTTTTGCTCAGTTTCTTGTTCTTCTCCAAACAAATAAAGTCACTCAGTGACCAGCTGTTTGATTATATCATGTACAATGTAGTAGAACAAAGTTGGAGAGCCTGGTCACCATACATATGGATGTATCTCACATTGAGTAAGAATAAACAGTGCAGTAGTTTGTTGGGTTATACCAGGAGAAGGTAAACATTACTGCTTTGCAAATGTTACCTTTCTGGTTTTATTCATTTTCAATCATATCTAAGTTAGGTATTTTATTTTCCCACGTCCATAGTATTTGCGAAATCTAAAAATATGAAATAAACTAGAAAAGTAACGTTTGCAAAGCAAAATGCATAATATTTACCTTCAGATATGGTCTGCATCCAAACACATTCACATACATGTATATGGTGACAGGAGTCTAAATGCCTACTATGAAATGGCAACATTACGTAACCCAACACCAGTTACTATGGTGACAGGCGTCAACAAATGAGGCCATTGGCCAGGTCAGAGGTCACTGTTTGGAGAAGAAGAAGAGGAAGAAACTGAGCAAAATCAATATGTTTTCCTTCGGTTAAAATTGTATAATAAAAGAAATTGAAGATGGAAGTCATTTCGTCTTTTTTTTCATCATATGTTACAGGAAAATTCTGCGGGAACACGTCCCCAGGACCTATCACCTCAGCTTGGGCGAAAACGTTGTCTGTAGAATTTGTGTCCGATTCCAGCGTTCGGCGGTCTGGATTCTCGGCATCGTTTCGAGCAGTGACGACTTGTGAAGGAGGAAGACCGGGTAGGATTTGTTTCGCATTAGGCCATGTTGATTTGATTATATGGATGACATCCGCGTGCCCATGAATTTTCGGCCGTTTCAAAAAAAAGTTTTCAACCATGCTGTAAATCGTACAAATCAGTTGCAAAATGAGCAAATATATACCGTAGGTTGAAAAACATTGGGAAACGATACCAATATCGTAGAATAACAAAATCAAACGAAAAAGACAAAAATTAATTTGAACACTAGATTATTCGCCAAACCATACTCTGTGTCATTTGTTCAACCTTCAAAACCACGTAGATTTCAGAATGAAAGAAACCTTTTTGGGCCAAACTTATTTTTTATTTGTGTTTTATTTTTAGATTTCTGTGCTTTTTCCAGAGCTGACATCACTGGATGACGTCTGCTCAGGAAAAAATACAAACATGTAAATGTAGAGATGCAAATCAGTACCGGATTGTGCTGACTTTCCAAGGCAGGGCATTAGAATTTCGAATGTAACAGGAGAACCATGCATATTTCTTGTAAATGTGTCTGTTAGCCAGGTAATACTAGTTATGTCCATTACAATCAGTTGAGGTCATATTTTGGTGTCATGAGCACTTTAAAGTAAATTATTCTCCCGCCATTATGTTCAGTGCGTTTGAAACATTCTTTGCATCGCACAAAACAGATCCACCCACCTCCCCGCGGTGTTCGGACGTCCCTGACGAGTTCTACCGCTATTGTAAAGATCTGGGCTACCAGAAGACCACATGGCCCAACGCGTTCGGCCAAACCACCGCCGAGGCTCAGGGTTCTCAGCAGTGGCAGGCGATGAAGGCCGCCGGTCCGCCCTGTCACCCCCATCTGAGACCGTTCCTCTGCGCTCTGCTCATGCCTCGCTGTACCATCACGATCAGTCCCACTTTAAGGTGAATCATCTGCATGGAAATTTAAAACAAATATGTCAATTAGAACTTAGGCAACATTTGCATAATGTTTAATACGTACCTCCGCATATGGTCTTCTCTGTTCTAAAATTCTCACTCAAACACATTCATATACAATGTATATGGCCAGACAGGGGTATAAACCCCTACTGTTGTAAAATTGCAACATGATGTAACCCAACACTAGTTACCATGGTAAAAGACACTGTGTCTTTTACCATGGTAACTAGTGTTGGATTACATCAATGTTGTGACAATATTGGTCACTGTTTGGAGACGAAGAAGAGGAAGAAGAAACTGAGCAAAAACAATATGTTTTCCTTCGGTAAACATAATAATGATGCATGAAAATGGCAGTTAAGTCTGGCAAACGGTGTCAGTATAGATTTCCTTTCCTGTGTGTACCAATCGCGTGTCACATGTGGTTCGGTGCAATGAAGCTAGATGGCGCCGCGCTGCTTGCCTAGCTGCAAAGCTGGTGTGTTACGCCAAAGGGCGATTGTACCGGCAATATCTATTTACTATACAGATACCTAATGTATTGACATTTGTATTGTAGGGCGATAGTTTCATGCAATATCATTCTGAACTACCCGTTTTAACTAGGATTTTTTCTCTCCCTGTGAAGTCATGGAAGTCTTGGGTTCTTACTGTTTTTTGTTTTTTTTTGGCCGTGTGTGATGACACCCAGTGTCCTCTCCATTAATGCGAGATTTTTATATTCCCCCAAAGCATATAATATGGTACAATGTACATGTTTTAGGGTCTACCTGTCACACTTGTCACACAATAGGTTTAGGATAAGTCACTGATACCCCCATTCCACTTAGCGGCGCTCTCTCTGCGATCTCAAATTGCCCAGAGCGCTGAGAGAGCGTCAAGGTCGCCCTGGGAGCGCCGTGAGAGCGCGAAGAGAGCGCGGCGAGCGCCGTGAGAGTGCACAACGACCCCCAAATTAATTTAGATATGGCGACCTCGGCGCTCTCAGGGCGCTCTGAGAGCGTCCTAGTGAATGGGGGCCTCAGCGTCGCTCTCGCCACGCTCTTTCTCTGCGACCTCCGCGCTCTGGCCAATTTCAGGTCGCAGAGAGAGCGCCGTGAGAGCGCCATCCTGGTGGAATTGGGCCTTACTTAGCTAATTGATGCACTGGATGCATGGAGTCTGGAAGACTTTCATAAGTAAGTACATTCACCCCTAGAACCAATCTACAAAAACATGTTAACAGCATGACAAAATAATATGATGTTTTTCTGGTTCAACCCCCGAGCTTCCCGTCACGACTGTATTATGATTGACGCGTTTACATTCACTGGACCATCTGGCAGTGATCGCTCTCAGAAGGATTGAAAATTTGACGCATGTTATGACGCAGGATGTTCCACGTCCACAGAATCTCATCACCGGTATAGTTCATCACCATATAGCTCTTTCAAAGAGAATTTTCAGTGCTTGATTTGACGCACTAAAGGTGGCGTGAAAGGTCGGGAGCCCGCTTTTTATTTTCTTTTTTCTCTCGTGCCAGAGTTGAAGGAGATATTACGGTGCATAATTGTCTTGAAAAAGATAAACATTCCAAGTAAGAATGCTATATATCTGTATAAATGTCACAAGTTTACAGCAAAAAAATAAATAAGATAATAATAAAATAATTCCACTTAGTGGCGCACTCGCCACGCTCTCTCTGCGACCTCCGCGCTCTGGCCAATTTCAGGTCGCAGAGAGAGCGCCGTGAGAGCGCCGTCCTGGTGGAATTGGGCCTTACTTAGCTAATTGATGCACTGGATGCATGGAGTCTGGAAAATTTTCATAAGTAAGTACATTCACCCCGAGAACTAATCTACAAAAACATGTTAACAGCATGACAAAATAATATGATGTTTTTCTGGTTTAACCCCCGAACTTCCCGTCACGACTGTATTGTGATTGACGCGTTTGCATTCACTGGACCATATGGTAGTGATCGCTCTCAGAAGGATTGAAAATTTGACGCATGTTTAATGACGCAGGATGTTCCACGTCCACAGAATCTCATCACCGGTATAGTTCATCACCATATAGCTCTTTCAAGGAGAATTTTCAGTGCTTGATTTGACGCACTAAAGGTGGCGTGAAAGGTCGGGAGCCCGCTTTTTATTTTCTTTTTTCTCTCGTGCCAGAGTTGAAGGAGATATTACGGTGCATAATTGTCTTGAAAAAGATAAACATTCCAAGTAAGAATGCTATCTATATCAATGTCACAAGTTTACAGCGAAAAAAATAAATAAGATAATAATAAAATAATTCCACTTAGTGGCGCTCTCGCCACGCTCTCTCTGCGACCTCCGCGCTCTGGCCAATTTCAGGTCGCAGAGAGAGCCCCGTGAGAGCGCTCTCTCTCTGTGAGAGTCTGGTAAATTTTCATGAGTAAGTACATTCACCCCGAGAACCAATCTACAAAAACATGTTAACAGCATGACAAAATAATATGATGTTTTTCTGGTTCAACCTCCGATCTTCCCGTCACGACTGTATTGTGACTGACGCGTTTGCATTCACAGGACTATATGGCAGTGATCGCTGAGAAGGCTTGAAAATTTGACGATTGTTATGACGCAGGATGTTCCACGTCCACAGAATCTCATCACCATATAGTTCATCACCATATAGCTCTTTCAAAGAGAATTTCCAGTGCTTGATTTGACGCACTAAAGGTGGCGTGAAAGGTCGGGAGCCCGCTTTTTATTTTCTTTTTTCTCTCGTGCCAGAGTTGAAGGAGATATTACGGTGCATAATTGTCTTGAAAAAGATAAACATTCCAAGTAAGAATGCTATCTATATCAATGTCACAAGTTTACAGCGAAAAAAATAAATAAGATAATAATAAAATAATTCCACTTAGTGGCGCACTCGCCACGCTCTCTCTGCGACCTCCGCGCTCTGGCCAATTTCAGGTCGCAGAGAGAGCGCCATGAGAGCGCTAGCTTTCGCTAATTGATGTAGTGGATGCATGGAGTCTGGAAAACTTTCATGAGTAAGTACATTCACCCCGAGAACCAATCTACAAAAACATGTTAACAGCATGACAAAATAATATGATGTTTTTCTGGTTCAACCCCCGAGCTTCCCGTCACGACTGTATTATGATTGACGCGTTTGCATTCACTGGACCATATGGTAGTGATCGCTCTCAGAAGGATTGAAAATTTGACGATTGTTATGACGCAGGATGTTCCACGTCCACAGAATCTCATCACCGGTATAGTTCATCACCATATAGCTCTTTCAAAGAGAATTTTCAGTGCTTGATTTGACGCACTAAAGATGGCGCGAAAGGTCGGGAGCCCGCTTTTTATTTTCTTTTTTCTCTCGTGCCAGAGTGGAAGGAGATATTACGGTGCATAATTGTCTTGAAAAAGATAAACATTCCAAGTAAGAATGCTATATATCTATATAAATGTCACAAGTTTACAGCAAAAAAATAAATAAGATAATAATAAAATAATTCCACTTAGTGGCGCACTCGCCACGCTTTCTCTGCGACCTCCGCGCTCTGGCCAATTTCAGGTCGCAGAGAGAGCGCCGTGAGAGCGCCATCCTGGTGGAATGGGGGCCTTCGCTAATTGATGTAGTGGATGCATGAAGTCTGGAAAACTTTCATGAGTAAGTACATTCACCCAGAGAACCAATCTACAAAAACATGTTAACAGCATGACAAAATAATATCATGTTTTTCTGGTTCAACCCCCGAGCTTCCCGTCACGACTGTATTGTGATTGGCGCGTTAACATTCACTGGGCCATATGGTAGTGATCGCTCTCAGAAGGCTTGAAAATTTGACGCATGTTTAATGACGCAGGATGTTCCACGTCCACAGAATCTCATCATCGGTATAGTTCATCACCATATAGCTCTTTCAAAGAGAATTTCCAGTGCTTGATTTGACGCACTAAAGATGAGCCCGCTTTTTATTTTCTTTTTTCTCTCGTGCCAGAGTTGGAGGAGATATTACGGTGCATAATTGTCTTGAAAAAGATAAACATTCCAAGTAAGAATGCTATATATCTACTATGATAAATGTCACAAGTTTACAGCAAAAAAAATAAATAAGATAATAATAAAATAATTCCACTTAGTGGCGCACTCGCCACGCTCTCTCTGCGACCTCCGCGCTCTGGCCAATTTCAGGTCGCAGAGAGAGCGCCGTGAGAGCGCTCTCTCTGTGAGAGTCTGGAAAACTTTCATGAGTAAGTACATTCACCCCGAGAACCAATCTACAAAAACATGTTACAGCGTGATGAATAATATTATGTTTTTCTGGCTTAACCTCCGAGTTTCCCGTCACGACTGTATTATGATTGACGCGTTTGCATTCACTGGACCATCTGGTAGTGATCGCTCCAAGAGGATGGTTTGTGCTCAGATATTTGTACATCTACTAGAACCATCACCTTAGCAACGTGTAAAAAGATCTGTCGTCACACTTGAAGTTAATTGGGCTGTCAGTCCCAAGGAGAGAGGAGATGTTTCAACGGTTTCAACAGTTTATTTCATAAAAAAACAGTCTCTCAGCAGTACAAGAACATGCTGAATAACACTGATACTTACAGTACATGACAGTAACATGATAATTACAGTATATCTACAAACACACAAACAACAAATACAATTTCAAAAGGTCTCACATGGGCACAACAGTAAAGGCAGATAGTCCTGAGAGTCTTACGGCAAAGACTCGTTGTATAGGCATATTGTCTTGTGTAGGAGATAGTATAGAGCCATCAAAAAGCGGCGCTGAGGCTGACTAATTAACATTGTCGGATGAAGGATAGAAGTTGTGTCACTTGATGCCGCGGTACTCAATAGAACAAAGAAATATCACTCTTCTCAGTTTTCCAAAATGTGGCTGTCGTGTTCTACGTGTGGGTGGACCTAGGGGCACTTTTTACGTCAATTTGGATTTAAAAGAGTAGCCGCTCCTGTGTGAAGAGTTACATTTTCCTTAGGGGCAATCTCATTATAACACCAGTACCGAAGCTGTCACGATTTTAAAACCCCTTAATGTATTCCACTCTCACCTGCGCTGTTCAGCTCTATGTAACTGGTATACAAATTTCGGAAAATAATTTGAATTGAAATACCTTTATTGTACATTCATGCCACGACGGGCTAGGTACAGGTCAAGATATAACAGGCACATAACAAACGTATGTAGAAAATTGAAGACAAAAGATGCACTACTTGACTTAGACATACATGCATAAGGAACATACAAGGGTACTATACTAGGCTAATACAAAGATAATAATGTATTGCTTCCTCAATATACCCACCTCCGATCTACCAATTTCTTTCTGCTTCAGAATGTCTACCAGTAACACTGATTACATTAGAATTTCTATTGTAGGGCCATAGTTTTATGCAAACGCCACGAATTCCATTATTAAGTCTAATGTCATTCTGAAATACCCTTGGAGGTCTCATTTCCTTATAAACTCATTGGTTTTACTTGCCCAGTTTACTGCCATGTAAAGTGACAAACGTGGCCGAAGAGTTTTATTTCAAGGACTCACCCCAACAAAAGGTCCTAAGTGTCGCTAATTGCAATTGGCCAATTGCAAATTACAAACATAAAAGAACATTGAAATAAGAGTATAAAATAACTAAAATATACGCGATAAAAGGTAGTTGTCTAAAGCTGTAGCTATGTCTAAAACTATGTCTAAAGAGCTTGACTTCTCTTTTAATGTAATGTTCCGCGTAATGTCCCACCTTTTCCAAGATTTCTGGGTTAAAGTAATTTTTCTAAGTTAAAATAATTTTATAATAAGTTTTATAATAATAAGTTTAGAGAAATTTGGATAAACTGTAGAAGTTTGAATTGTCGAGCGTCGTTATGAAACGAACAATTTGAGATAAAGTGTATTTGAAATTATTGATAATATATCGTTTCCCTACAAGGGTACGAAAGCAGCTACCTTGCCGCTCGTGGTGCGAAGAAGTCACGTCGTCCTGCCCATCAGTCTTCGCCAACGGGTCCTCCTTCGAATCGACAAACTGCAATCTGCTAAACAGTACATCCTGCGTCAACTTGGAACCCTATGAAGGTACTGTTTACTTCTTTAAAGGTCTCATAGAATCAAAATTGTTGTTATTGTAACAACCTTATTCTAGGTCTCTCTTTCGGCATGGTTTGCTGTCAACCTGATCGTAGATCGTACCAATAATCTAAAAAGCAATTGTATTTTATAAGTATGTCCATAAGTAATTTATAAGATGTAAATGTATTGGTTCATGTGCAAATCTTAACAATTACTTAATATTATGTACTCGTATTTTATCCAAGTATGCCTATAAGCAATTTATAACTGAATCTTACTAGACATTGCTACATATGTATTTTGTCTTGTATAGCACTCGAGTAATTTTTTTAATGTGTGAACATGCCAACTTTAATGCTGTATTATAGTGTAACGTTTTTAACAAAACTGATACGTTTGTAAAATTGCCTCACAATTCAGCCTGTCACGGCTGCCTGGAGGCTTTTAGGTAACAACTAAGTTCTAAACTAATAAACCAGTCTACTACTACTACTACTACTACTAACCTAATATTCTAGCTAAGTCTATCACTGCAACGCCAACAATAACATGTAAACATGTCCAACAAGTACTGCACAGTGCTGGTCCCTACTCGTCCTGTGTACTTGCTACATTCCGGACTCACACTTCACAAATCTCGCACTACAGTTCCACTCATGATACACTACAGTCTCATAATACAGTCATCGTCAACAGAATGGACACAGTTGTCTCTTGCCACGCGTAATATTGTTGTAACATATTGTTTTTTGTTTTATACATATTCCAACATGCAATCACAAGACGTGGTGGCGGCACACTCAAGTTTTTTCAACTTATATAATGATACCACCATATTGCAATACTCATTTTCACCTGAGCGAAGTGAGGAAAGTCGTGTAAAGTGCCTTTCCCATGGGCACAAAATCGGTGGCATGTCAGGACTTGAACACGGGACCTACTGGTTCCGAGTCGGGGCACTCTGCCGCTACCTTCCACGACCCCACTTTATTACCCACGTATTGTTCCAGACTGTTACTACGGCAATGGCCAGAACTACAAGGGCGCAGCGACCTTACCAGAGGAGAGTGGGAGGATGTGCTTGAAGTGGTCCAGTTTCTTGTCTGATCATCTTATGGCTAAGTACAGCTGGGCAGACCCGCAGGAAAACTACTGTAGGAATTTCCCGCTAGGTAAGTCCCATCTACCCTGTATACAAGTGCAAATGTCTATTGCTTTCGTTTGTTACCTCCGTGAAAAATGGAGGTATTGTTTATGGTATCTCTCTGTGTGTGTGTGTGTGTGTGTGTGTGTGTGTGTGTGTGTGTGTGTGTGTGTGTGTGTGTGTGTATCTGTGTGTGTGTGTTTCCGGACATTTGCGGCCGACATAACTTTTGAACCTTTGGATGGATTGTTATGATATTTGGATATGTGGGTAGGTCTGAAAATTCTATGACGCCTTAGTGGTAAATGATGGGAAGTTCATACTTGGGACATGTGTAAGTTAATCAAAAGTTAACATCACGATGCATTTTTATGTTAATGTAGAGGTCATTTGCATAATTAAAGAATAAATTTACATGTCAAGCCCATATTTCATGGAGGTAATGGATCTCTGAACTCTTGTTGATATTGTACTGATGAGTTGTTCGGTGCAGGAAATGCAGAGGAGCCATTTTGCCTGGTCAAAACTGAGTCAAAGGGAAAGGATATCGTCGCCATGGAGCCATGCGGGTTGAGGCCTTGCAACGGTAAGACAGTTTTGTTTCCTCACTTCTACAGGTATACTGGTGACAAGGTGACTTGCAATTGCCAGGTGTCTGTCCATCAACCAATGATAGCATAGTAATTAGCCGTTTGACCAATAAGAACCTGGTAATTAGTCGTTCGACCAATGAGAGAGTAGCTGAATGATGTCCGTCAAACATGTACATTTCAGTGTTCTTATTTTACATTGCAGCGTCCTACATGTGACTAGTGGGGCTATGGGATCGGCCTATAGATGTAATTGTATGCAGTCAGGAGATGTACATGTAGGGACCCCCTCCCCCCTTCCCTTCATTAGATATCAGACTCCTATGTCAGAAAATAGAATAACTACATGTCTGTAAATGTATATTATACTCCAATCTCCAGGGGTGCCAGATTATACAGTGCAATTTTACGGAATACAGTGCAATTTTACGGAATACAGTGCAATCGTAGTAGTATACAGTGCAATTTTACGGAATACAGTGCAATCGTATTAGTATACAGTAAATTGCACTGCTGTATACTAATAAGATTGCGCTGTATTCTGTAAAATTGCACTGTGTTTCAGTAAAATTGCACCGTATTCAGTAAAATTGCACTGTATACTCTGGCACCCCTGATCTCACATTTCCCCAGCCATCGGGTGCGGCGCTCCTCCCGACGTGACGTTCGGGAACAGAAGCCCGGTGAGGAACTTCTACCTGCCGGGGGAGACGGTGTTCATCACGTGTGACACAGGCTACGTCCTGGAGACTGACCAGGTCCGGATATCATGTACACCGAACGGGACGTGGAGCAAAACGGACATCAGGTGCTCAGGTATAGTACAATATATATACATTAGGCCATGTTGATTTGATTATATGGATGACATCCTCTGGGAACCCCAAAACTGATGCGAGCGTGCGAATAAAAAAAAGTGTTGCAAAAAAAAAAGTTGCTTTCATTATGAAATCTACGTGGTCATGAAGGTTGAACAAAGGACACAGAGTATGGTATGGCGAATAATCTACTCTTCAAATCCATTTTTTTACATTTTCGTCTTTTTTGTTTGATTTTGGCATTCTACAACATTGGTATCGTTTTCCAATATTCTTTTTGCAAATTACGGTATATATTTGCTCATTTTGCAACTGTTTTGTATGATTTACAGTATGGTTGAAAACATTTTTTTAAACGGCCGAAAATTCATGTGCTCGTGGATGTCAAATGTCCATATAATCATGGCTTTAAGATGTAAAATGCATAGCATGCATCAGCGGCTAGGGACACGTAGATCTTAAAATTGTTTAAACAAATAATCTTACGTTGGTGTATGCATTGCTTTTACCCAGCTGACTACAGCTTGCAGCTGTCCAATGCACTACTAGACGAAGACCGGTACTCTTCTAAGCTACCTCCAGGCACAGGAAATATCAACATCACCTTCGAAGCTGCAGTGGTCGAAATAATCGATGCAGTAAGTTTACACTTTCGAATTCAATTCCAATCGTATGTATACAGGGGTGCAAGAGTATACAGTGCAATTGTACGGAATACAGTTCAAGTTTACTAGTATACAGTGCAATTTTACGGAATACAGTGCAATCGTATTAGTATACAGCGCAATTTTACGGAATACAGTGCAATCGTATTAGTATACAGTGCACTTTTACGGAATACAGTGCAATTTTACTAATGACTTTGAATGACGTAACCTGGGCCCGGTTTTCCAGGGACGCCGCTGACGGAGCGTACTCACGTATTTCTGTGTTTTTGAGCGAATTTGGACCGTTCTCGTAGATAGACCTTTATCAAATCACTACATACTACACACAGCGCATGTTACTGCAGAAGGATCATTTCGAATTCGCTCGAAAAAGACAAAAATATGTGAGTCAGCGGCGGCGTCCGCCATCTTGAAACTCAAGGAAAGCAGTGTCCAAGTCACTTGATTCAACGTCATTAGTAAAATTGCACTGTATTCTAATACGATTGCACTGTAATCCGTAAAGTAAAATGTATACTCTTGCACCTCTGGTATATGTACAGTTTGAGCGCGTTGTCAACAACGAGCCATCACTGATCTACTTGGTTTTACTTCCGGGACAAATATTGATTTGGGTGGCGCTAGGTTTGTATGTTTGGTTTCCGAAGTGAGTGGTCGGACACTGGGTTTCACTTGATTGACAGAGTGAAATATTGGCACCGTTATCACAATACAACCGTTAAGCTGGTTTTGTCATAAAATCTACATTTTGCACGTCTTTTCTTTATTTTTGTAGGATGAAAAAGAGGAGCATATGTTTGGATCAGTGGCCTTCCGTCTGGTGAGTCCTTATGAAGTTACATTAATTATCATTTCATAGCAGCATGGGTTATATTTATTAACAATATAGCCGCTAAGAATACGCCTCGTTGCTTTGGCATGCATACTGATACCATTTCATGTTCTTTTTCTGAATACCATTCTTCTTGTTCCAACACTTGTTTTTTTCTTAATTTCCTATTCTTTTTTTTGTATTTATTTTGCGTGTGTTTATTTTCGCATGTTATTGTCATGTATCACTTTGTCATGTAACATGTTTAATTCTGGTTGACCAGCGTTGGAAGGACAGTCGCCTGTCCTGGACTCCAGCAAAGTACGGGGACGTCACCCAGCTGGTGCTGACCACAGAGGATGTGTGGATACCTAATATCTACCTCATGAGGAAGTAAATAACTTTGCAAATACATCTACACTAAGTACGTATACCAGTCTGATTGAGATTGCTTTTAAAAAAACAACCATAATCTGGTAGTCTACCAAAATATGTGGTAAGTTTGCCTAACATTGCGTAGTAAATTTGTACATCTATGAGGAGACATCATTGGCTTTAATCATTTCACGGTGCTGAACTTAATTTCAACTCAAGGATCAAATTTCCAACGACCACTGGAATAAAAAAATGACCAATCACAACGAAAAGGAAAACCCGCGAGATTACGGACACGTGGCCTTATATTTATTCACTGACGAGACTTTACCGTTTACGGATACTTTACAATGACGTCAGCAATTGGTCAAACGTAACAGGTAGTTTATATCGTCCACCGTCTCTGTTTTAATCTCATATAATTAGTTTGACCAGACCCACACCCCGGGGAAGACCGCCCAAGCGCCCAAGAGGTGGGAAGGCCAGATGGCTCACCCTAAGGCCACATCAATTTAATTTGTTGGTTCTCGGATTTTTTCATAAAAAATATGAAGCGGCAGGGCGGAAAAAAAATTGAAAAATAAAAACAGGTCTAGGCATCCTATTATAGCCCCAAATGGTACGATAGGAGCCATGAAGTCAACACGAAAGGCTGGGTTAATATTTTAACAATGAATTTTGAATTTTAATCAAACCATTGTATCAGGAAAACTGTGACAACTAAGAAGAAAAGGACTTTCCTCAGCTGTTGGGGGCAAAATATGAGCGTTATTTTAGTTGATTCAGAACCAGAATCTGTTGGGTTTTTTTTTTTTGCAAATCAGAAAAATGAAGAGGCGAATCCGAGAACCAACAAATTAAATTGGTGTGGCCTACGGGGAGCTGAGACTTTGGTCCTTGATAGAACTGGCTGGAGAGGCCAAGGGGCCAGATCTTGGCCTGAGCACGTAGGCAGGTGGACATTAGTTTGCATCAGTCATCTTCTACATGACCTGACTGCATTTTGTGTCCACACAGCGGAGATGCCAAGTTCAGCACGTTTCCAGATGCACCCGTCACAGTCACCAGTGACGGAGAGGTTGGGTGGGACATCGTGGATCTCCTGACGACAACCTGCGACCTCGGTAAGATTTCAATGACACAAATTATAACCATTTAGACTTGACTTACTCGACTTATGTCGAGTCCTGGTGTCCCTGGCCTCGAGACAAAATGGCTGACCAACACTCTCTGTCTTCCATCACTTGACACAAGCAGTGTCTCTCCTGAGGCAGTCTATGTAGGTTGCATCCGATCTGCCGGCCTTCCTCCTCCCATGCTTGGGAGTCCACAGTACCAGCTCAGCCACAATCTCCTCTCTGCTCCTGTGACAGTGTCCTGCGAATCTAAGCCTTCTTGATCTAATTTTGAGCATTTAGAGCATTTAGAGTCCATTTAGAGCACAGGTGTAAAAATAAGATCAATGCAAATCACTATTAGGGATCATGGTGCGAAATGACAATGAATGAAGGTGTTTTTGTTTTTATGATAACGACATGCCAGAGATGCTACTAGCGATATGTCCGACATTGAGTTACTATACTGCAATTCATAAGATGTTCTCATTCCTTGTATTCGTCACTGTTTCTATGTGCCTGTCTAAGTGTGCAAGGTTTTTGCTAGGCCCGTTGAAACTCATATCATCCCATTTGTTATGCCAATAAATTCACAAAAACTCCAGACGTTTGAAACCTCCGATTTCTTAATTATGACGTATCAGTTTTCAATGTACCGGTGGAATGCCACGAAAACCCATATCAAGACGATATCATCATATCTTCACATCCTTATGATCATTCATGTAGATATTTCATGTGACATACAATATAATTGAAAGTTTATTGCATGCCCGAGGGCTATTTGCAAGAACATGATAACAAAAATGAACAGTGAAAATGATAACAAGTAATTCTAATGCTACTTTTGATATACATTTGTAGTTGTTGTTGGGTTTGATTTCTTTTCCGTGTGCAGTGGAGTATGAAATGGCCGACATTTTGCGAGATATATGCATTTGGAGGTGTTAATAGAAATGCAGTTTTTTGTAGGCTGGGAAGGTTAATAAAGCTAGGGAACATTTTGGTGACCATTTCAAAAAACTTATCTCTTTCGGTGCTATAATAAGGGCAATGACAAAAAAAGTGCATTTCATCCTCCACTGCATTTCCTGTACAATATTTACATATTCTGTCGTTAACCCTTTTCTATTTCTAATGTACGTGCGCTAACTTACATATGGCTGATCTAACATCGAAGTCTTTGATGTGAAGATAACGTTCTATTGTGTATACAGGTTTTAGATGTCTATAAAATCTTAGCTTACCGACATCAACAGAGAATATAAGAATTCAAAGTTCTTTCTTTTTTGTAACCCCCTTCCTTGCCTGGGTTTGCTGCAGATCCAGCTCTGTTTCCCTTTGACACCATGTCGTGCCCAGTGTGCCTGGGGACGACAACAAGAGTAGAACGGTTTCACTGCCCGGATCCACAGGGCGACAGCGTACCGAAGGACTCCATGTCGTACATAGAAAACTTCATGAAATGTGGCGATCAAATGGAAGAGGTTGTAGACCAATGGAACGCCAAATGGACGGTACTGATTTTGCTTGCTTGTCTGTTCTAGTTAGTAGAATATTCCTTAATTCTATTTGTATTTACTATGTACAAAATTGTAAAAATCAGTGTTATTCAGCTTGGTTGACTTGTGAACTGGCTGCAAGGCTGATTTTATTAATAAAACTTGAAACTTGAAATTAATCAGTGACTCTTTTTAAAAGGTAGAGACACGTACCTCCAAACGCGTGTAAATGTTGGGATGAATCGCAATGAAGGTTGGGAGCTGCCCAAGTCCTACCTACCCCTACTCCGCAAGGAGGCGGGGGAAGCCAGAAGATCCACACAAGTCTCGACCTAGTCTCGTGTTCTCGCGAGACTAGGTCACTCCGTGATCAAGATGTACAGTGGACATCTAAAATTTGAAAGTACGTGTTTCTACCTGTCAAAAACAGTCACTGATTGAGGAATATTCTACTAACTGATAATTCTACGTGACTAATGAACCTCTTCAACGATATTTGTCTGTTCTACATGTTGATATCATAGTCCGTTAAGGGGTCTGTGAATTACTTAAGGGTTAATGACCCGCCCCGAGGTGAATATGGTGTGATAAAGCCTTGTCAGTTGCTATAACCACCGAATAAAGCCATCGAGTGAGCGAACACCTTTTTTTTTGTCTTTGCTTTACCGGATTTTTGTTTTCTCTTCACCAGGTAAGCGTCGAAGGCGGAGTGTTCGGACGAGGCTGCATCAGTGTGCTGTTTGACCGCATCCCGACTTTCCACTCCTGCACCACTCTGTCCCCCGTCATCATCCTCTCCATCCTCATGTGTATCACATTCACTCTCCCAATAGACCAGGTTAGTACATTTCTCATGGTGGCGTCGTGTGGTGTAGTGGTACATCACTGGACTATGAAACGGAGAGACCCGGGTTCGATTCCGGGTCGTACCCGAACAAGTCCAAACATGCGCCGCGACGTTGTACCCTTGGGAAAGGTACTTTACACGACTTTCCTCACTTCACTCGGGTGAAAATGAGTACCTAGCTTCGGCTAGGGACGTCCCTCGGATAGGACGTTAAATGGAGGTCCCGTGTTTGGGAGAAGCCACACCCCACGCACGTTAAAGAACCCACCACCCTTATCGAAAAGAGTAGGGGACCTTCCCGGTGTGAGTGGTTCAAACATTACAGTCTGGTCTCAGGTTTGACATCTTTGAAAAGGTGATAGTCACCTGTTATGTCAATCTGTGGTAAATCGTCATAAATAAATATAGTAAAATAATCATGGCGTTTTCCGAATGGAAATGAATTGAAATGTGACAATGCTCATGATTATTGATATGATCAATGATTTGTTTTGGTTTGAATTATTTTTATGTTTATTGTTATGATTTGAATTATTGTTATGATTATTGTTATGATCAAGGATTTGACATGATTTCAATTATTGTTAAGATTATTGTTATGATCAAGGATTTGTTTTGGTTTGAATTATTGTTATGATTATTATTATGATCAAGGATTTGATATGATTTGAATTATTGTTATGATTATTGTTATGATCAAGGATTTGATATGATTTGAATTATTGTTAAGATTATTGTTATGATCAAGGATTTAATATGATTTGAATTATTGTTATGATTATTGTTATGATCAAGGATTTGATATGATTTGAATTATTGTTATGATTATTGTTATGATCAAGGACTTGTTATGATTTGAATTGTTGTTATGATTATTGTTATGATGAAGAATGTGTTATGACTTAAATCATTGTTATGATTATTGTTATGATGAAGAATGTGTTATGACTTAAATCATTGTTATAATTATTGTTATGATCAAGGATTTGTTGTGATTTGAATCATTCTGTAAAGTATGGTTCCGTGTATGTATGTATTGCTTGGGTATATGAATAAAAATAAATAGATTAAAAAAATTAAATTAAAAATTGAAAGTGTGACAATGCTCAAATTCAATACGTTACATTCTTCATGATGAAAAGTCATACACAAAACGGCACAGGATTTATAAAGTGAGAAAGATGAAGTAACTCACCGTCCAAACCTATTTATGTACTTATTAGGGAGATCGTGTTTCGTATGGCATCACGATTTTGCTGTCCATGGTGGTCTCCCTGGTCTTCATCACGGATGTGTTACCAGCCAAAGGATCTATGCCTGTTGTGGGTAAGATTAGTAATACCTATTCACATGCGACGTTGCATACACGGGACGCCCTATAGCAACCGTACCACAACCTGATTTACCCTTAGTCTCCATCAGACTTCTTTTGCAGGCTGAATAAATTGTAGAAATCGGCCTAAAAAGGGGATCATAAATGGCAAGAGGAGTTTCCCGGCCATCGAGGGTCCAACTGGTGCTTTTTTTAGACCCTCGATGGCCGGGAAACTCCTCTTGCCAATTATGATCCCCTTTTTAGGCCGATTTCTACAATTTATTCAGCCTGCAAAAAGAGTCTGGTGGAGACTAAATTAGCCTTGGCACTTCGTACGAGTATACATGTAGATTTCCCTTAAATGACAAATGCAATGGTAAAAAACTCAAGGACATCAATATTACTGGTACATTTGTAGAACAGAAAAAGTGGTTGGATTCATTTTTAAGGCTTCAGACAGTGATACGTTACTAGATAGTTGTTTTGGATGACTTAGCTTAGAATAGTGTGTAGGTTGCTGCATCATCAAAGTCAACTTCTGGATTTTATCCTTTTCAAACTTGATCCAGCGGTGCTGATTGTGGTGTACATGTGCCTGATGGGGATATTTCTTATCGTCACCGTCATAGTCATCAAGATCAGCTCAAGGGTAGGTCTACAACGTGTCAAAGCATGACATTTCTCTCTCTCTCTCTCTCTCTCTCTCTATCTATCTATCTATCTATCTCTCTATATCTCTCTCTCTCCCTCTCTCTATCTCTCTCTATCTCTCCCTCTCTCTCTATCTCT